CCGGGCCCTCCCGCCACGCGCGCCGGTGCATGCACGCAGCGCACTGGGGGCCGCCGCTGCCCGCCGCGTCCCACCGGAGACATCGGGGTGGAGACCTGGGGACCCGCCGGGGCTCGGCGCACTTCTCCAGCCTCGAGTCCGAGGTATGACGGCCCCGGGGGCCCGACTGCCCCCTCGGTCAGCGCAGGCCACGGCCCAAGGGGGCACGCGCAGTGGACAGGACCCGCGTGGGATGGGAAAGGAAATGGTGGAACTGACCGGACCTCGCCTGGAGCAGCGTCCTGTGCCCCTTCGTTCTCGGGGCACCGTGAGCTGGAGGGGATTTGGTCCCCGGAATCTCACCCCAGCCTGACAGCGAGGGGGTGGAGGTCTCGGCGCCCACTGGACCTTTTTTAAAACCCGATAAGGGCTTTTTAACGTCACCAGATGGGGCGGGAGGTGGGGGGGTCACGCCACCCCCGCGCCCCACCCCCACGCCCGGGGCCGTGGCCCCCACATCACTGTGCAGCTCCCCGGCCCCAGCCACGCCTCCGGGGAAGCCCGTTTTTAACCTTTCATCCATCGGGACTCAAAACTGTGAGACACATTCGCCAAACTGTGACCCTAGACCTTGGCCCCGCCATACAGAAACCCCTGACCCCAGACTGTGACTTCCGACCCCTACAAATGGTCATCCGACCCCAGACTGTGACCTCTGACCCCAAACTGTGACCCGAACCCCAGACTGGGCCCCGACTAGACTGTGACCCTTGACGTCAAACCGGGACACCCTCTCCTCCACCCCGGGTCACACTTCCCTATTTGACATAGGACACGCCCCCAACGGAAGCCCCGTCTCCCCTCCCCCCCTTTCGCCTGCTCCAGCGTTGACCCCAACCTGCAGGGGCCGAAACTTCCCACCATGGCGCACCTCACTACCAGCCCCAGGTGCCACCAAACACATCCTTTCCAAATTCAGCCCTTATTTGTGACCCTCCAGTGATGACCCAGCAGACCCCCCTCCAGAGCCTCCTCTTCCCTGATCTCCAGCCGGGTCTGGAGCTGGGTGGTGGAGGGGAGGGCCTGGGAGTCCACGCTCACCACCAGCCCTCCTTCCCCCTCTCCTGTTCCACATTGCAGTGTTTGGAATAAACCATGTTTTTATGCCTCCTCAGTCCAAGTGTGAGCTCCGTGTCTATCTCTTAGCCACCGCCCCCCCCCCAACCCGAAACCTCTGGAGAAAACTGAAACTGAGAAAAGTCCCACCGAAAAAAGGGGGCAGAAAGAGAATCAGAGCGAGAACAGAGACCCTGGAGGGAGGTGGGAGACAAAGACCCAGAAAGAGGAGATGAAAAAAGACCGTAAGAAGAGTAGGGCTGAGAAGGGGCGGGGGTGGACAGAGACCTAGAGATGTGGGGGACGCAGAACTCAGGAAAGATCCAGGATCAAACCATTTTAAGATCAAATTTAGGGTCCCATTTCTATGACCACAGGCAACGAGGCTTGCAAGATTCTTAATGCCCTGTTCATGCAAGCGAGGAGAGTGTCTAATACATTCCAGGAAACCCACATATCTCGAATACTGTTACTCTCACCAACGAGAATCTATTTCTAACATTTCATTATGCCAATTAGCCAAACCTCTGGTGTTGATGGGCGATAAAGAGTCGAAGCGCTTGTAATAGCTGCTTCCAGAGGGTTGACTATCTGATTAAGTGCCCGCTGACCATAGCTGCAATATGGAGTCCTGGTTAGGCAATTGACTGCCCCAAGAGGCTAGATTCAACCGACTAACTTACGCGTAATATCATCCTGTTTACATTAAGCATTTTGAAATAAAGCCATCATCACAAGGAGGGGAGAAGAAAGCGGCTTTATGGGTCCTCAGAGAACAGAAACCCGCGCTCCTTGTCAGTAAGAGCTCTTATTTGCATACATGAATAATCATCTAAGCGAAAAGAAACCGCTGGGAGTCAAAGTGGAAAATGGAGTGGAGGCTCAGAACTCCTCAAGATGATTAGTTGATGGGGAATACAGGCCTCCCAGAGAACTACAACTCCCAGGAGGCCTTGCCACTGCTCCGCGGAAGAGCGCCCCAAGTCATGCGGGGCGTGTAGTCTCCCGGTATCCACCGCAGGCCCCTGTGGCTAAACCAGGACGCCCTTACGGCAGTTCTCCTTCTCCCTCTCCCCACCCGCCCCTCTAATTGGTGAACTAGAAAGTTTCCAAGGTAACCGCACAGCCTGGCTGATCTCGGAAGGGGGCGGGGCGGGAAAATGCAACCCGGAAGTGACGCTCTTACCTCGCGCCGAGAGTGAGAGGCTTCGAAGATGGCGGCGCGCAAGGGTCGGCGGCGCACGTGTGAAACAGAGGAGCCCATGGAGGCCGAATCCCGGGATGCAGGGTCGGAGGGCCCGGCCCAGGTCTACCTGCCCGGCCGGGGACCGCCGCTGCGCGAAGGAGAGGAGCTGGTCATGGACGAGGAGGCCTACGTGTTGTACCACCGAGCTCAGACTGGTAGGGCTGGGTACCCAGATCCTGGGCCCAGAGGAAGGAGGGAGCTGGAATCCTGGGTCCTAAGGGGCTCAGGTCCTGAGCCTTTAACTTAAGAGGCGCTCTGAAAGAGAAGACTGGAGTCTAAGAGGGGTGACATCACACTGGAGAGGGCTGAGATCCCGCTGTTCCATCATAACTTTACAACCTCTCCTTCCCTCCTCAGGCGCCCCCTGTCTCAGCTTTGACATAGTCCGGGATCACCTGGGAGACAATCGCACAGAGCTCCCTCTTACACTTTACCTGTGTGCTGGGACCCAGGCGGAGAGCGCCCAGAGCAACAGGTGAGTGAGAGGCTTTCCCAGGACCAAGAGTCCAATCCCCAGCCTCTTACTGCCTCAAGATCTAGGAATCAGCCTCCAGATCCCCTTCCCCGGGACGAGGAGGTAGGGCTTCCAGCTTCTTGCCTCCCTCAGACCCAGTAGTCGGGATTTCAAGCTTCCCTCCCTCCCAAGGACCCTGATGTCCAGAGTCTTAGTCAATCGCACTTTCTCCCAGATTAATGATGCTTCGGATGCACAATCTGCACGGGACCAAGCCCCCACCATCAGAGGGCAGCGAGGAAGAGGAGGAGGAGGAGGAGGAAGAAGAGGAGAGGAAGCCTCAGCTGGAGCTGGCTATGGTGCCCCACTATGGTGGCATCAACCGAGTTCGGGTAAGTACAGTCTAAGGAGTCTGCTCTACATCCTCTGGAGCACACCCCTCCTCTCATATCCATCCCGGAACCTCCTCACACCCTTCAGCTTTTGGGAAAGCATCAGGCACATAATTTTAGATGTTAGTTTGTATATGTCTTAGCTCTTCTGAATCGTCACTAGGTGCTAAGTACTCTTGGGTGCTTCTTTTTATGTTCGGTAAAAGCTTGCTCAGGAACTGTTCTGAGCTATGGGGTTACTTTTCTGGTTCAGGGTTATAGCATCTTCTGATCAGGTTGATGTGTGATTTAAACGGGGTGACATATACAGCATTTAGAGCAGTGCTTGGCCTGTAATTCTTGCAATGTGTTTCCATTAAAGTATTGCCGTGTTCCAGGTACTGTTCCAGACCCTGGAGATTTAATAGGGAGCAAAAGGTCTCTGGCTGCACGAGACTTACATGCTAGCGGAGAAGGGAACAAGAACAAACTAAGTAGATGTATACTATGTCAAGGGTGCTAAGTGTTGTCAGGTAAGGGCTTTAGGGTGTTCCTGGGTGGGTTGCTACTTTAGTATAATCTGGGAAGTCTTCACTGATAAGGTGCCATTTAAACAGAGACCCACAGGAAGTGAGGGAGTGAGCCAAGGGCCTGTGGGAAAAGATTGCATGCAAGGAAAACAAGTGCAAAGGCCCTGGGATGAACTTGGCACATTTGAGGAGTTTTGAGAGAAGTTGGGAAGACCAGTGTGTTTAGAGTACAATGAGCAAGGGGTACAGTGACAGGATTTTGGGGGTAGGCACGGATGAGACAGATTGTCTAGGGCCTTGTGGCCCATTGTAAGGACTTGGCTTTCACTTGGGGGGAAATTGGGAGCCATTAGAGAATTTAGAGCAGAGGAAAGATGGGATCTGACTTGTGTTTTAAGCAGATTCCTCTGGCTGCTGTGTTGAGAATGGGCTGCAGGGAGGCAAGGGCAGAGGACAGAGTCCTGTGGGGGGCTGTAGTTCAGGGGGAGGATGACATAGTAATAACGTGCTTGACAACAAGAGGTAGTGAGAAGGGGTTAGAAGTGGTGCATTTTAGTGGAACCAGCATCGGTGGCAGGTGTGAAGAAGAGAAGTTGAGAATACGTCCTGCAGTTTGGGGAGGAGTAGGTTGCATCCTGCGATTAGGAGCTTGGTTTTGATCATGTGAGGTTTGAATGGTCAGTGTGATATGAGTCTGGAGTTCAGAGGGAGGTCGGGCGGGAGTAGGAGCTACTGGGAACCCTGAGGCTGAACGGGATCTCCTGTGAGCAAATGGACTGAGGTCAGAGGCCTGTGACTCTCCAACGTTTAGAGGGTAACAGAGGCCAGGAGTCTGGTGGGGGCTGGTGGTAATTGCAGCCTTGATTCCCAGGGGTCTTGAAGGAGTTTTGTTCTTCCACCGCCACTACCACAGGGTGGGGAGGTGTCCAAAGTACCAGACTGGTCTTGCAGGCTGTGATCTTTTCCCAAAAAGGCTTCTTGGCATTATAGTCCCAGCCCTAGGGATGGGGTGTCTGAGGAACTGCAGTCCTAGTTCTCAGGGATGCTAGGAGCTGTTGTCACCACTCTGAGCCTCCTGTCCCTCCCAACTCACCTCCCTTTGTTCTCCCCCCTTGTACACAGGTGTCTTGGCTAGGCGAGGAGCCGGTGGCTGGGGTATGGTCAGAGAAGGGCCAGGTGGAGGTTTTTGCTCTGCGGCGGCTTCTGCAGGTGGTCGATGACCCCCAGGCCCTGGCAGCCTTCCTCCGGGACGAGCAGGCTCGCGTGAAGCCTATCTTCGCCTTCACTGGCCATATGGGGGAGGGCTTTGCACTGGACTGGTCTCCCCGTGTGCCCGGTGAGTCCCTGGGGTGCACATTTAGTCCTGGGGTGAGAGGGAGCAGGGTCTGCAGCAGGGGTGGGTGCTGAGACTCCAGAGCAGGGAGGGAAGTGAGCTGTGGCCAGCTGGAACCAGGTAGTGTCCTGACTCCCCCAGGGCGCCTGCTGACTGGCGACTGTCAGAAGAACATCCACCTCTGGACGCCCACGGATGGCGGCTCCTGGCACGTAGATCAGCGGCCATTTGTGGGCCACACTCGCTCCGTGGAGGACCTGCAGTGGTCCCCGACCGAGGACACGGTGAGGGAGGCCTGGGGCCTGGACTTGTGCATCTTGAGGGAGGAGGGGGCTGGGGCAGGTCCTAGTGAGGTGTCCACTACTAGTACCTATTCTCGGGTGGGGTGGGTGGAGCCCCAGGTCACTCAGACTCCTCTTCTAGGTATTCTCCTCCTGTTCCGCCGATGCCTCCATTCGCATCTGGGACATCCGGGCCGCCCCCAGCAAGGCCTGCATGCTCACCACTGCCACCGCCCATGATGGAGATGTCAATGTCATCAACTGGAGCCGCCGGGAGCCCTTCTTGCTCAGTGGTGGGGATGACGGGGCCCTCAAGGTCTGGGACCTGCGGCAGTTCAAGGTACTTTCCCACTGGGCGCCTGGGGCTGGAGAAGCTCCTGTTCCCAGCAGCCGCTAGGATTTGTGGGTTTGCCCTCGGGTGGTTTTATACACTGGAGTTGGGAAAGCCCTTTGCATTGGGGTCTGTCCCTTTTGGGGTATAGATGAGGAAGCAGCTCAGCAAAAGGATGGCTGTGGCTGGTGTGGAGTCACTCACTCTACCAGCTGGAGAGCTGGAGACAGAAGGAGCTAGATGGTGGCAGGCAGGGACGACAATTCCCATCTGCCCATGACGACCACACAGCTGGCTGTGTTGCTGGGGGCTTAAGGGTTCTGGGAGCTGTAGGTGTTTTTTCAGTGGATTTTATAGAATCAGCTGAGACTTGGAGCCCAGCGCTCTCATTGCAGGAGAGGAAACTGAGGCATAGAAAGGACAGAAGCAGATAGGACCTTAAGGCCCAGCTAACGCTGACTTTGTAGAGCTGAGAGGGCTCTGGGAGGGAGAAATTGCTGCGTCCAGGATCCCTCTCGACAAAACCCTAACTTTGTATGGCTCCATGCCCTCCTGGGACCACCGCATTATCATTTGTTTCCCTCCAGTGTAATGGGTTCTATAGAATCGACCCTAGGGAGCTTCTAGAAGTGGATTCCAGCCCCCAAGGCAGGTGTGTGGCCAGGTCACATGGCCGAGTTGATTAGCCATTGGAACTTTGGAGCCACTTCTCCAAATTAGAGAGATTCCATCCCCAGCAGCCCCTTTGTTTAGGAAAAGTGTCTTTGTTCTTTGCATCGGCTCCTTCTGGAGCCTGGGAGCCCTGCTTCTGCCCCCTTTAAGGCCATAGAATCAATGAGGAACCACCCCACTTGGAGAACCACCCCCTTCCTGGGAGGGGCCTCTTTGCAGGTGAAACCAGGGTTCCAAGCAGCCTCTGGGACATTAGTTCTTTATTACTAGCTATACTTTTCCCTCTGTCCCTTTCAGAGAATCTTGGCTTGTGGGGACTCAAGGGTGGAGCCCTGTTTGAACCCTGAGGCTAGAGAGGGGTGGAGGCTCTGCCTGGGGTACCCCAGCAGTCAGGCTGAGGTGCTCAAAGCCCCAACTCCTGTTTTCCCACAGTCTGGCTCCCCAGTGGCCACCTTCAAGCAGCACGTGGCCCCTGTGACCTCCGTCGAGTGGCACCCCCAGGACAGTGGGGTCTTCGCAGCCTCGGGTGCAGACAACCAGATCACACAGTGGGACCTGGCTGTGGAGCGGGACCCCGAGGCGGGTGACACGGAGGCCGACCCCGGGCTGGCGGACCTCCCCCAGCAGCTGTTGTTTGTGCACCAGGGTGAGACAGACCTGAAGGAGCTGCACTGGCACCCACAGTGCCCCGGGGTCCTGGTCAGCACCGCCCTGTCGGGCTTCACTGTCTTCCGCACCATCAGTGTCTGAGGAGGGCCTGGCAGCACCTGCTCTGGCCGCGCACTTGGGAACTGAAGTTGAAGTTGGTTTCCCTGGAGGGACCATTCAGATCTGTCAGTCCATCCCCCCCTCTAAAGAAGGACTTGGTTTGGCCCGTGATGGATTCTGTTTGTCTTACTGTTCTTTGAAAGGGCTTGGTTTGGTCCGATGACCCTTCTCACCAAAGGACCTGGTTTGACCCCTTTCCTCTAAAACCACTGGGTTTGATTCCAGTGACCCCATCCACCTGAAGACTTGGTTCAGCCCAGTGATTCCCCACCCTTCAGAGGGTGCTTGGCCCCTTTCACAGGTGGGCCTGGTGTGGCCAAGTTACTGGGGATAGTTTGTCAGCTGTGGCACTTGGCTGGACCCTTTGGCCCCAGGGAACTCAAGTGCTTTACAGTGACTGGACATGTTTGAGGGAGGGTTCCCCCAGCAGGATTAGGTTTTGCCCCTTGTCTTCCTGTCAGCTGGGCTTGGCCAGGACTCCCCACTGAGGGGCTGCCTGGGCCTTCTCTCCTGAAGGCAGGCACTATGGAGCGAGGAAACTCAGGGCTCCTGAGAGGCAATAAAGATCCAGAATAGGCCTGATGTGTGACTCTTCCTCCTGGCCACTTCCCTCTGCGGAACTGAGAGGAGCAGCAGGAATCTGGCACCTGCTCCAGCCCTTGACCCATTGGGTGCGAACCGATTCTGCCTTCCCTAAATTTGATTCCATTTGGAACTCACTCCAGGTCTCTGGAGGGTATCTCACCTGGGACCCCAACTTTTTAAGGTTTCATCTCAAGGGGAACCAGGGAGCCCCCCATATCTCCTTCAGTCATTGTCCCCTTTATCATAATCCTACCACTTTTGTTCCCTCATCTGTGTCCCCATCTTCCTGTGTCTCCTGGCCCCCATGCTCTGTCCCTGCCCCCTCCCCCTTCTGTGTGCTTGCCACCGTCTCCTTTCCAGCTTGCTTGGGCTTCGGCCCAGCTGCCTGCCTGGCCATCCTCCCTGGCTCCCCCTCTGCGGCTCTGAGATGGCCCCACCCCCTGCTCCCCCCTCAGACCAGGCCTCTGATCCTCCTGTAGACATAGAGGTCGGGCGCCCGGCACAAGGCCCCTGGGGCCCAGGACAGACCGCAGCCCCTCAGCACCCACAGAGGAGCCTCCAGCCGAGGGCATGGGGGTGGGCTGCCCCACCAGGTATGTGCTCCATGCAGAGGCTTGGGCAGGGTCCTGTGGCTGAGGGCCATCCCACCCCCACCCCCGTCCTTGGGCATCTCTACCCCAGCATCCCCGCTGTTCCCCCTCAGAGAGGTCCTCTTACCCTCGGTGATGGTGCAGCCCAAGAACAGTCTCCCTTTAAGTTCCGGTGCCTCCGACTCTGACCCACTGACATTTTCTGCCTTTTCCACTGCCCTACCCCCTGCCATCCCCCATCTCAACGGAGCCCTTCTTGCCCCATCTCTGTGTCCTCCGTTGGTGTCTTCCAGCTCCCCGTCTTCCCATTTCCTAAGACACATCTCTGCGTCTCATTCCCAATTGCTTCCCATCTGCCTGTCTGTTTCTGTCCCTCTCTCCCTAGGCCTGTCTCCCTCCCTCTGAGTCTGTCTCCCCCTCTCTCTGGGTCTCTGTCCCCTTCTCTTTAGGTCTCTGTCCTTCTCTGGGCTTCTCTCTCTCTCGGGGTCTCTGTCCATCCCTCCATCTCTGTTTCCATCCCTCCATCTCTGTTCTTCCCTCTTTCTTAGTCTCCCTCTCTTAGCACCTCTCTTCCCACTCATCTCAGCTTCTGTACCCTTGTCTTTGCCCAGTCTGCCCCTCCCCCCCTCCTGTCAGTCCCTGTCCTTCAGCCTGCCTTGCAGACCCCACTGGGGAGGGGGCACCCAGGGTCTAGGAAAAAGTGAAAGTGTGTGTTTTATTTGGGAGGGAGGGAGGTTGGGCCTGGGGGTGGAGCTTCTTGGCCTCAGATTAGGCAGTGACTGACACCTTAAGCCCCCTGTCGCCTTTATATGGAAACATTAAGCTGCTCTGGAAGGTCAGGGGCGGATGGGGGAGGACTTTAGGCTCTGGAGCCTTTCCCTCCCGTCCTGTCTGCCTGTCTGCAGGGCAGGGGGTTGCCCTGAGTCCTAGTAGCATCCGCCCCTGAGAGCTGGGCCATGTTGGATGCAGACAGGGCCCCCTGGAGGTGAAGCCCCTGCCCCATCTGCTGTGGGAAATGGACACAGTCACGTCGGCCTTACCAGCTGCGTATGGGACTCAGGATTTATTTGGGATGCAGTCCTGTGTTGGAAAGGCTCAGAACCCAACTGGCACCCACCCCCGCACTGCATGGGTCTGGGAGGTCTCTGAGCCTGTTCCGCAACCTGTGAATTGGGGCAATGACCCTGAACTCCCAGTATCCTGAGCAGTCAAGGTGAGCGGTGGGGTCTGGTGGAGTCCAGTGGGTGGGCTGTGGACATCCAGGGAGCTCATCCCAAGGCCTGGGACATATCAGGTGCTCAGAACATCCTATGATAAGGTTGTCCATGGTCTGTAGCCTGAGCCCAGGCAGCCCAGGATTTGCCGTTTTGGAGCTGAGGAAACTGAGCCAAGGGACAGACCAGCAGCTGTTTCCTGTGAAAAGCAAAGTCCCCAGGGTTGTGGTTAGAGAGGTGAGTGAATGTGAGGAGGCCCAGCCTGGGGTGGGGGCTGGGTCAGTGGGAAGCTAGTCCACCTCCCCCTACCCTGTCATCTGTGGTTTCTGAGATGGGAAGGAGAACATAGTGGGCGCTTCTGGGCAGGAGAGGACTATAGATGTTGAGGGCAGAGCCTGCCTGGATCCTGACCTCAAACCTGCCCTCTTCAGCGACTAGCCTCAGTTTAGTAGCATCTCTAATAGCCATAGTAGTTAAAGGTGAAAAGAGAGGGTTGGGATACATCATGGATGCTGGACACTGCCAGGCCCAGTCCACTCTGACCTGAGCTGCGGTTTTGCATCTGTGGAATGGGCCAAAAAAAAGCCACAGGTGGCAGGGCTGTCCAGGGGGTCATGGACAACAGGTGCAGAGCTGGAGGTGGGGCAGTGGAGGGGAAGGGGGGAGAAGAACCCCTTGGTACTGAACTTGCCATTGACTAACAGCCCTCTCTTCAGATTGAGTGCCCCCAGCCCTGCCAGGAAGCCCATCAGGATTCCAGAGCCTGACACAGGGGCACATAATATGCAGGTGCTTGGTAAATATTGATGGAACCGGTATGCCAAATATTTCACTCCTAGCCCAAACGGGTCCTGAGGTCCCCCACGGTAGCTGCTGGAGGGTGATGAGGTCTGCAGTTCCATACCCTGCCCCTTCCTCTCCTCCACCCTGTCTAGCTGATGAGGTTCCCTCCCATTTCACAGATGAGGAAACTGAGGCTTGGGAAGGGATGTGACATCTAGTAAGTGGCAAAGCTGGGATTCAACCTAGAACTGCCTGATTCAAAAGCCCAAGGTCTTTCTTCTGGATCCTTCTTCAAGGTGGTGGGTTTTTATTCCCATCCCATGGATGAGTAAATAGAGGCTCCAGAAAAGGGAGTCAGTTGTCCCAAGGCTCATAGTGGGTCAGCAGCTGAGCCAGGATTGGGCCCTGGGTCTATATGACTGGAGGCCCTTCCTGACCTTATAAAGTCCAGTTTCCCCATTTTACAGTTGAGGAAACTGAGGCTCAGACTTGCCCAAGGTCTGACAGTCAGGGAGTAGCTTGGGTTGTGTGTGTGTATGTGTGTGTGTGTGTGTGTGTAACAGCTTCATTGAAATACAATTCACATACCATACAACTCACACATTAAAGTGTACAATTCAAGGGTCTTTAGTACATTCACAGAGTTGTGTAATCATTACCACAATCGATATTAGAACATTTGTATATCCCAATAAGAAATGCCATGTCCTTTGGCTATTAATTCCCAATCCTTCCATCTCCACAATCCTGGGCATAACTAGTCTACTTTCTCAATTTATATAGGTTTGCCCATTCTGGATATTTCAGATAAATGGAAGCATACAATGTGTGGTCTTTTGTGATGTTTTCAAGGTTCAACCATGTTGTAGCATTTGTCAGTACTTTCACTTTTATGGGTAATACCGAGGAGTAGAATTGCTGGGTCACATGGCAACTCTATGTTTAACCATTAAGGAACTGCCAGGCTGTTGAGGGTGCCAATTTCCGCACATCCTTGTCAATGCCTTTTTCTGGTTTTGTTGTGTATTGTTTATTATTCAGCCGTCCTAAGTAGCTGTGAAGACGTATCTCTCGTGGCTTTGATTTGCATCCCTGTTGGCTAACGATGCCATGATTTTCATGTGCTTATTGGCTATCTGAATATCTTTTTTTGAGAAATGTCTATTCAGATCCTTTGCCTATTTTTAAATTGGATTGTCTTGTTATTATTGGGTTGTAAGAACTCTTTATACATATTTAATACTCACCCGAGGATATGTTTTTATTGATTTTTAGAGAGAGAGGAAGTGAGAGAGAGAGAGAGAAACATCAATGTGAAAGAAAAACTGGTAGCTCACCCATTCCTGGCACCTCTGACACTTCTGCCCATTTCCTGTCCTCGCAGGTTCGGGGCGCCCGCCCCCCACTAGGCCAAGTGAAGGGGGTGTCCCCGCCTAATGGGCCTGGCCGAGGCCCTGCGCCGCCTGAGCGGCGCCCTGGAGTCGGGGGCCAGCGGGGCGGGCGATGAGGAGGCCGGGCCTGCGCTGTGCAGAAACGG